CGTAAGAGCGCAAACTAAAAATCGAAAAACCATATTTAATAAATAAAAAAAGAAAATTAACTTAGATCAGAAGGCATCGTTTGATGTTAACTCTTTATTGTTTCATTAAAAAACTAATTGTTCAGTTTCTTTAACTAAAAAACTGGTACAATCAACGTGAAGTCCAATTATTCAAAACTCAATCTAATAACACATACACAGATTTTAAATGTTAGGCCTAAAGTGAGAATATAAACTGAAATGAAATGTAACAAAATAAAAATAAGTTCCATCAGCATTTGCTCTGTCCTGTCTATATCTGTAGCCTTCGACCAATATAATTACCTTCCCTTTCTGTGATTCGATTTTCTCCATGTTACTTGGGTTAGAAATATTTTCAAACTGCATTCATAACATATTAACCATAATATATAAATAAAGACGTGTTAACCATGTCCTATTCGTTTAGCGTACAACATATGTTTTTTATATGACTGCGCTCTTATGTCGGCGCTCTTTTGTCTGCGCTCTTATGTCGGCGCTCTTTTGTCTGCGCTCTTATGTCGGCGCTCTTTTGTCGTGCGCTCTTTTGACGGGTCACCATGCTTAAAGCTATACAAAATATAAATCTGTCGTTGCTATAAAATATTCGCAGCGGGGGGATGGGGAGGGGATATGGTAGGGTAGGGAGAGTCCTCGATAATTGCCACCCGGCAACACAAGTCTATCTCACCTACGTGTTATGATCAGTGCTTGGTTAGGTGATTAGATCAATGTACCTAACATTAACCAACTGTAGCCTCTCAGTCTATCTCAGTGGTATGATCAGTGCATGGCAGAGGCGTAGCGACCCCTCCCGGCGCCCGGGGACAAACTTTCAATATATTTTTATATTTTTAATTCAAAATAGCAGCTAAAATGAGCTTATTTTAGCGTCCCTAGGGTCGGCGCCCGGTGACATATGTACCCCTCCCCTTCGCTACGCCTCTGGTGCATGGTTAGGTGAGTAGATCAATGACCCTAACATCAACACACTGTCACCTATAGCCCTACCAGTCCCTGTTATTCAACACCTCCAATATTTTTTTCTATTTTTAAACGTCACTTTAGTTCTAAAAACATCACCGCCACACCCAACCTCTGTTTCAGTTCTTTACAGCGGAAGTAGAGCCACGCTAAATTTACATAATCCCATAACAAGTGTTTAGAAAAAAGGGGTCGAGATCACTCTAATTAACATAACAAATAATTACTTTGATTGAGACCGACCCTTAAGCTTAACAAATATCGATAAAAATCAAGTGATCGGGCTGATCGATAAATCAATCGCACGTTTAGAATCCATTCAGGTTTTTTTTTCTTTTCAAGATATCGTAATCGCTGAAAGATCAGGGCGGCTTTTCAACGCAAGACTATTGGATTCGATTTCTGTTTACACTGGAAAAACAACGGAGCGGTGTGGGGAAATCGGTGTTTAGATTACAGCTGGTCGGGTGATATCGATACACATCGGCCGCGACACGCGATACTAGTCAAACACCAGCGAGGTTTAAAGCTTGACGCGGCAGGGGCGATAGAAATGTCCTGATAAAGTTAATAGCCTTCCCTTGTGTTTCTCATATTCAACCCCTTACCTCCCCTTTTTCCTGTTTTGACGGTGATTTGATGATTAAAAGGTCTTTAATCTGTGATACGTTTCAAGCAATGGCTTGTCTAGGGGTCGTCTATAAACGCCCCACCCAGTACAGGGGGACGGGTGGGAATTATGTGAACACGTAACGCTAGGGGGGGGGGGGGCAAAGCATACACTTTGAATCTATTACAGTTAAAAATCATTTTTAATGAAACATGATTCCATTAGAGTTGGGACTGTGTAGAATTGATCTCGGATGTAATATGCTAGCTCAAAAGCTGCGATTTTGCTAAAGTTTTCTAAATAGTTGATGTCTACCTAGGCACTGATATTATATGAGTGCATGTGTGTGTATACAGATGTATATTTTTAATATATATAATTAAAGATTATAAAATTAGCAACACGTATAAATTTAAAAAACCAAATATTTTATTCAAATAAAAATGATAAGACAACAGCTGCTTATATCACGTGACATTTCAAGTACACATGTACAACCAAGCACAAACAAACTTGACATGAGTGTACGTGTACACCGTGTGTGCTCACGAATACATGCTAGATTCAACTTTTGGCACTCACTCAGATCGTACAACTTTAATTTTGGCACTCGTACAACTTAAATGATGCTCATTGGAGAAAAACTCAATTCATTTTCGCATGGATGAGCAGTGTATTAAACATACAAGCATGATGTATTCGTTTTAATTTATTTCCTAAAAATGTTAAGTTTTTCGTGTGTGTTTTTTTTTTTGTATGTTATTTTATTTCTCAAATCAGTTACAGATGTAATTGCTTTATTTCGAACGTTCATATCGGTAGATAACAACAGGCAAAAGACTGCTAACCTGAAAGTGTTGAGTCTGGATCCCCAGAGTTTGAGTCCTTATAACGTCACCTAGTCCACCCAGCTCTGATAGGTACTCACGTTAGGGAAAGAAAAGGCAGCTGGGCATAGCGCAGACCACAATATTCTTTCAAGTGGTGAGTTCACAGAAACAACGGACTGCTAGGTTCAAAAGGTTACTTTTATTATCCTTTTACTAAATCTATGTTTGTTTCTACCATTACAACAAATGCAAGTGAATATTTTACATATTATGAACCCCACATATACACTAACAAAAGGTAAGATAGTCTGGTACCTCACGGCTACAAAATATCTGGAATCGATGTGGTTTTTTTCCCCTCAAAATATCAGACGAGCATCCTAGCTTTAATCAAACAATTAGAGTCTATTCCGTTATGCCTCATCAATTTGTAAAAAAAAATCCAATCAAAATTATATAATTACTCAAATGACATGTTTTCTGGCTATTATTTTGTTTACACACGCTTTCATCTTTAACAAACTGTTACGCTCTTTCTTTTTTACCGCAGAATTTTAATTAGGCTCCACCATTTATCTGAACCCATTTTTGCTCGACCATTTACCTCAAACCACTTTTGCAGGCAGGAAAATATCTTCAACGTCAGCAAGAGATGTAGTTTTGAAATAAGTTGTAAAGAAGCTCATAGAAAATATTTTTGGCTTACAAATTCGGCTATTTACCTGCCTGCTGCTCGTAGACTGTGTAATTAAAAGAACATGCCTCAGATTATTTTCATTGAGTGGGTTTAACAAAGCACATACTTGAGCTAATGTGGTGGGACGTGTTTGTATACAAGTTATTAAAGAAAATATGTTAGAGTGGAATGTCTTTATACAGCATACAAAAATAAACAAGTCAGAAGGCATTTTTAAATGTTTTTGAAGAAAATATGTTTGAATGGGACGTTTTTAAATATGTAAAGAAAATCTGAAGATTTTTTTCCCTATAAGTTGTTCAAGAAAATACATTTGAATGGGATGTCCTTAAATATTATACAAAACCTAACAGAGGAAGATTTTTAAAAAAATTCTTTAAGTTATTGTTAATAAAATCTGTTTGTCTTTAAGGAACATACCAAAAATAAAAAGGCTAAGTGGTTACTTGAGCTACAGAAATTGGGTGGGGGGGAGTAAAGTGGTATGATGATAGTGCACATTCTCCTGGGGTAAACCTAACGCGATGTAAATTGGCAAGTGTGTCCCACAAAGCAGGCTACTAGCAACGTTTCCCGTCGTATACGTAGTCATTGTGATGAAACGATTACGTCATGTTGCCAAAATGTAAACAATGTTGTATATGAATATGTATGTGTAGATAACCGCAGAGGTATCCCGAAAAATTTTGATGCGGAAAAAAATGGCTTAATATCGCGAGTAGTAGCAATTGTGATGAAGCAATCGACGAAATTGAGAAAGAAATGACAGGAAGATGTGTAATGAACAAAATTTGTAAAGGAATAATTTGTGTGCATTTTTGTGTATGTTTGTAGAAGGCTTGGCTTCCATTGGCGTGAATAAATCTCCATTTCTTAATACACGTGTAAGAATTATTTTCATAAAAAACTGGACCATTGTGCATATGAATTTGTGTATCTATTTCTCTGACATCGGCCTATAAGGGTATGGTATAGTGGACTTTTACTTCTCCAAGTTAAGATAGGAACCCATTAAAGCTGAGTGGACTCCGAGATATAAAGATAATCATGTTCTAGTTATGTACCAAGTCACGCTATAAATGTAAATAATGCCCTAATGTCATAAATGGTTATGAAACACGACAATGGTGTGTTTACTTCTGACTACATTGTTGTAGCTTCGTTTCCCCTGCTAGCGATGAATGATGTTATTTAAATGTGACGTCATTTTATTTTTTCATTGTAGACAAATGTAAAACTCGTGAATAAACATGGTGCTTCATTATACAACACACACATATAATCCAGGCTATGTTGAAATGTGTACATGATTACAGCACATTTTAATTAAACACGTCAACTACACACCACAACTACCCACCTCAACTACATACTTCAACTACACACCTCTCACATGCACGTGAGCTACACATATGAGATACATAAACCTCAGATACAATTGTTATGATTACACCCATACTATCTACACACATAAGACACACCTGACACCACATACACACACACACATTTTCACATCTAACACACGTGGCGCACCTGGTACAGTTAACACACATAACACACCTGTCACATTTGACAAACCTGACACACCTGAGACACCAAACGCACCTGACACACCTGTTACACCTAACCAACCTGACACACCTGACACACCTAACAAACATAACACACCTAACATACCTGACACACTAAGCACACCTGACAAACATAACACACCTGACAAACATAACACACCTGACACACTGAACACACCTGACAAACATAACACACCTGACACACTAAACACACCTGACAAACATGACACACCTGACAAACATAACACACCTGACACACTGAACACACCTGACAAACATAACACACCTGACACACTGAACACACCTGACAAACATAACACACCTGACACACACACCTAACACACATCAGGTAAGAACGTTACGGGTACAAGAACTCTGGTCTTGCCGGGCTGCCTATCCAGTCACAGTCCACGTGGACATAGACAGGCCTTGACTTTGACACAGATCTCAGTTGACCGTCCAGCAGGTTCCCGCCTGGCGAGAAGAAAAATTTGTTGGTTAAAAATGTTGGATGACTTTTTTGAAAATTTTGGATCAGAAATATGTTGGATTTTTTTTTTAATAGTTAGATCAGAAACATGTTGGTTTTTTTTTAAATAGTTGGATAAGAAAAATGTAGGATTTTGTTTTAAATGTTGGATCTAATTTTGTGAACTTTGAACTCTATGAACTCACTATTATGTCGCGACATCTCAAATTTGTAGAAGGGGTCATCTGGCATGGGAGTGAACTCAGCACACATAATGGCGTCCTCATCCTTGCTGACATACTCCTTGGCTCTACGGGGGGGAAAAGTCACAGAGTGAAACTATTTTTTTATTGAAGATATCAGCAATTATTGTTTACCCCCTTATAAATAGTATGTTTAGTAACGATCATTTAGGTACCATTTAAACAATAAAAAGCTCGAAAATCATTGGTTGTTTGTTGTTATTGTTTTTGTTGTTGTTGCTGTTTTTTTCGTACGTCTTCGTCTGCATTGGACAGATCACTGGGTTACTAATTATCAAACCTACCGATCCCAACTCTTTTTTTTTTAAATATATCCCAACCACCAGTTTGTTTTAGTGACCCTTCTCTGTGAGTCGCGTGACAACGGGACTCTTCTAAGTCTGTGACTTATAGAGATATAGTGTCGTCTACCACCTCCTGCCTACCCCCACCCTCACTTTTCTTTTTTTTTCTTAAATGGGGATTTGTCTGCGGTATTCCCTCCTCTTTACATCTACCGACCTTTTACAAGATGCTGTCGTCTCAGCAGGGGCGTAGCGAGTGGGGGCGGGGGGTGCGGACCGCACCGGGTGACACCATTTAGGGGGGTGACACCAAGGCAAAAAATAGCAAAATATATAGAGAAAAACTTGAGGGGGGGTGCAAATCAAAAGTTTGAGGGGGGGGGGGTGGTGCAAATCGAAAACTTGAAAGTTTGTCCCCGGGAAGGGTTGCAACGCCTCTGAGGGGGGGGAGGGTGACACCATTAAGTGCCGCACAGGGTGACACCCGACCTCGCTACGCCACTGCGTCTCAGTGATACGTCACTGTCACCTACCTTAGCTACGATGCTGTCACAAGATGACTGACGCTATAACTAACTTTATTTATTGAACTATTCATATAAACCCATAGCTCCGCCGATGAACCCCATAACTTCTCTAATGAATCCCAGATCTCCACCATTGGACCTTATATCTCCGCCAATGAACCCTACATCTCCGTTAATAAACCGTACAACAACTCTAATAAACCCCCACTACTTCGCCAACGAACTACATAGTTGCACCTCTGAACTTCACAACTTGTCCAATGAGCTTTACTTACACCGATGAAGTCTTTAGCCACGCCTATGAACCCCATCCGTCACAAGCCTTTAAATAGCCCTCTCCATGTACCACCAGTCTGTATTGACAAACACCAATACACCCACTCTTTACAGAGTCTCAAACAACCCGCCAACCCTACCTCCCTTCACGTTCTGACGTCACCACCACCCTACCAACCACATCCCCTGTAGACAAATCTGCACCAAAAACCAACGAACATTTGTCAATAGACCTAGTTTAAGACGGTGTCTACAAATTGACACATTTCTACCCGTCTATGTTTATCGTTTCTCTGATCTAACTATAGAGACTCATCAGTCTATTTTAGTCTCTCTATTTAGTTAGGCAAAGATCTCATTAGGCGATAGTTTAAATAGATATGTATGCGATGTCTAGTAAAGTGCTTGTAGGATTATTTATACATATATAATTACTTGATATTCGGCCTACTTAAAGTGAAGGGCATGGTCGGTTGATAGAGCGGTTCTATAGTTGTGAAAGTGGTTCCACTACCCTCGAGCAGATGAAGCTATTTATAGACATAAGACAACTGCTGCTCCGATGTTCTTTGGGAAGCAAAGTCTAAGGAAGTCGGAGTCAAATGGCCATATAGCTCATATCATGTTGGCCAGAGTCAAATGGCCCTATGGCCTATATTATGTTGGCTCATTACACTAATTTACTATGCCGTTGGACTTGTTTAATTTGTCGTTTGATCCCAGTGTTAAAATTAAGAATGAAAAAAAGAAGAATATTTCCGGCTACCAGAAATCACTCTAAGAAACTTAGTACAGGATCGAAAACTTGGAATAAGACTTACTCCAGCAAAGTGAAACGGTGCTCAAATTAATGTGAGCATACAAACAAACACACAGATACACACAAATACAGACAAACTTTCAATCTTACCGACTCGGGAAGATTTACAACGATCTTGGCAAGGTTACAATACCTCTGTACTCCGTATACGAGAAAGAAAAACGATAGCTTTTAGGTTTGGTGAATGTTACAAAAGACTCGTTAAATTTTCTTATCAAATTCATTTTCTGTCTCGAGCTTAAGGAAGAAAATCGGGAGTTGTCTCTAAAAATATTGTCATTTATTTTATTTTCTAGTTTACATAATATTCCAGTAGAGAAAAACTGTGTTAAAAACAAAACAAAACTTAATCTTCGTTTCGAGAAAATATCCCCTCTCTTTTTAAAACTTCCGGTTTGTCTGAAAAATTTCCCATCAATCAATCGTCGGTGACGCCTCCCGTATCAAGCAGCACCAAGCAGTCATTCATGGTCTTTACCCACAATTCCCATCACTTCCGCTCCCATACACTTCCGCTGAATTTTTCAGAACCCCCCGGCCTCATTTCTATTACTCTGTCAGCGCCGTTTAATCCGGCCTGCCTCTACCAACTGCCCCCCCCCCACACACACACACAACTCTGCCGGATGCCGCCAACCTACTCCTCTCCCTGTTCTTTGAAGTTACCCGTTTAAAAAATAATAAATCGTTAACCAGATACCTAGTCGTTGCTATGGTTACTAAGCGTTGGTGATTCTATTTCCGGTAAAACCTCTATGATTCCTGCGTATCTTACCCGCTAATAGTTTTTCACCTCGGCTCTCTAATTAGGGCCCCATTTAACAAGTGGAACAAAAAATTTTGAAGTTGAATTTACTGCTTTGATTTAAATATTTTGTCAGGGGTTGCTGGTAAGCTCTAAGCTAGTGTCTGTCATCACCAACATGATAGTTGTGGATTCGAATACTTTTTGTACCAGAAATTCAGTTGCAATGCTATGATGTTAGCACTTTTATCAGTTAAAATTCAATTCTGAACGTGACCACCCACCTAAATAGAAACACCGCCAACGTGACAACTCACTAAAACACAAACACCCCCAACCTGACAACTCACCTAAACACAAACACCCCCAACCTGATAACTCACCTAACATAAACACCTCCAACGTAACAACTCACCTAAACACAAACACCCCCAACCTGACAACTCACCTAAACACAAACACCCCCAACCTGACAACTCACCTAAACACAAACACCCCCAACCTGACAACTCACCTAACATAAACACTCAACCTGACAACTCACCTAAACACAAACACCCCCAACCTGACAACTCACCTAAACACAAACACCCCCAACCTGACAACTCACCTAAACACAAACACCTCCAACGTGACAACTCACCTAAACATAAACACCCCCAACCTGACAACTCACCTAAACACAAACACCTCCAACGTAACAACTCACCTAAACACAAACACCCCCAACCTGACAACTCACCTAAACACAAACACCCCCAACCTGACAACTCACCTAAACACAAACACCTCCAACGTGACAACTCACCTAAACATAAACACCCCCAACCTGACAACTCACCTAAACACAAACACCTCCAACGTAACAACTCACCTAAACACAAACACCCCCAACCTGATAACTCACCTAAACACAAACACCCCCAACGTAACAACTCACTTAATGCAATCGTCCTAAAATGACACCCCCCTCCAAAAAACAACTACAAACACGTCCAACGTGACCACTCACCTAAACACAAACACCCCAACGTGACCACTCACCTAAACACAAACACCCCAACGTGACCACTCACCTAAACACAAACACCCCAACATGACCACTCACCTAAACACAAACACCCCCTACGTAACAACTCACTTAATGCAATCGTCCTAAAATGACATCCCCCTCCAAAAAAACAACTACAAACACGTCCAACTCACCTAAACACAAACACCCCCAACGTGACAACTCACCTAAACGCAAACACTCCAACGTGACAACTCACTAAACACAAACACCCCCTACGTGACAACTCACCTAAACACAAACATCCCCAACGTGACAACTCACTAAACACAAACACCCCCAACCTGACAACTCACCTAAACACAAACACCCCCAACCTGACAACTCACCTAACATAAACACTCAACCTGACAACTCACCTAAACATAAACACCCCCAACGTGACAACCCACCTAAACATAAACACCCCCAACCTGACAACTCACCTAACATAAACACTCAACCTGACAACTCACCTAAACATAAACACCCCCAACGTGACAACCCACCTAAACATAAACACCCCCAACGTGACAACCCACCTAAACACAAACACCCCCAACGTGACAACTCACCTAAACACAAACACCCCCTACGTGACAACTCACCTAAACACAAACACCCCAAACATGAAAACTCACCTAAACACAAACACCCCACCATCACGTTTGTCACACAGAAACTTGACACTCTCCCCGCTCATCAAATGCAACGTGGCATTCCGCTGCCATATCTCCAGCGACTTGGCGTGCTGGTACGTATAGTTCCACCTCCCCCTGAGTTCCAGAGGAAACTTGCAACCTGGTACTGTAGATGTGATCGATAAGAGGGTAAGAGTTGGGGCTGGAAAGAACACGGGAAGAAAAAAAAAGAAACCAAATACATTAATGCATTCATATAGATCATAGAAGTTTTCTTGTCTGATTGTTGTCTGTCAAGGGGAGAGAACCGTAAGGAAGTCGTCGTTTCTCTCCCTTAGTTTATAGGGATGATAAATCATGTTTATGGTGTTATGAAATGTTTAATATTTGATTTAAAAATTTAATAAAATGTTTACGGATAAGATAACATTTTACACTAAAATTATATAATTTTATTGTGATAACTATAATAATTAAAACTTTTGTTTAGTTCTAGTGGAGCCAGATTTTTAAAAAACATAAGAATCGGCTGTTCTCGACATACAAGGGAGAGAAGCGGCATTGACCGCCCCTCAACCTTGGCAATTATACCATCCAATCTCCAGGGACCGCTGGCTATTTGACCTCTGTAAAGGATACAGATTGCGTCCCTGACCAGTGGTCGTCTAGAAATTTCATCAACACATTTTTTAGACCCAGATAGTATTGCTCTGTCTGACTGTTTGTAAGATATCAGGAAAAAAAAACCTGGTCGTCTTGGTATTTAGGGGTATTCTGGCCTGAACATACCAACATATATTATAAAAGGATTCGAGGTTGGGAGGTTGATAAAAATACACATTATGTGATACATAAAAATATAATAAAATTTTACCAACCGCTGTTAAATCCTTGCATGTTATAGGGGATTAGAGGTTAGCTTTTATTTTTTTTTATTTAACCCATTTTATTCTTGAAAATTAGAAATATTTTTTTAAAGAAAAAACCGGTTCCATATTTTAAATGATTTCTGTATCGTATTTACTTTGAATCCAGAGCAGGGATTAAGTAATCGTACATTAATAAGTTTATTTACAAGTTTTGAGCTGCTGAATTCCACTGAAATAGCTTTTTTTAAACTAGCATTAGACCCCCCCCCCCCCATAAAGTTTTTTATCACATATAAAATATCAACGATAAATCTAATAGACACATACATTTTGTACTTTGTTTGATTGAGATATATTTTATTTTAATTTTACTAATAAATATATCGTGGATTTAGTTTAATGGATACACGTTCATACTCTTAGTATTACTAACATATACTAATGCCTATTTTGTCTACTTAGTTTTACTAGCACATACAGGATGTACATGTTTTAGATAACCCAAATACTTAGTTCTAGCTGCAGGCAAATACCAAACAAATATACAAGCAAGATCGATAACTCATGCACCCAGACAGGTGATCTCCCATTTTACCTGAATATTTGCTCATTCATAGCCCACTGCACTGAAAACGTTGTGTGATATTTGCTCAATGCGCGTTATTTCTGCTACACTGCACGTGTAGAATACGAGGACTCCATTCAGTACAATAAAAATGGCTGCCCATCACTGACAGAGCCCCTAGCCCACCCCACTCTCCACTCCTCTACACCCCCGCTCCTCTATCCCCACTCATCTTTACACTACACTCCCTGATCCTTTATCCCACCCCACCCCTACACACTCAATGATCCCCATCAGTACCAGCTGTCTGCTCATCTTCACTCACTACTCCCCCACACCCCCACACCCCCACACCCCCACCAGACCACACTATTTGTACACTGGCTCCCTTGTCACAAGCCTTCTGCCTTTTTATCGCTGCCTACACCAAGAGCTCTTACCCAACCCCTCACTCCTCCCCTACCCTAGATCCCATACCCTAACTCCCCTACCTCTACTCCCCCTCACTGCTCCCCTAACCTAGCTACCCTAACCTAGCTACCCTACCCTACCTCCCCTACCCTACCTCCCCTACCCTACCTCCCCTACCCTACTTCCCCTACCCTAACTCCCCTACCCTACCCTACCTCCCCTACCTCCCCTACCCCAACTCCCCTTCCCTCTCTACCCTATATCTCCTAATCTTACTCCCAATCTGCTACCCTACCCTAGTTCCCCTACCCTAGCCCCCCCCCCCCGACCCTAGCGTCCCTACCCTGGCACCCTTACCCGAACACCATAGCTTCTTCACAGACACCATTTCGCCACACCGCAGTCACTTCACAGACACCATTTCGCCACACCGCAGTCACTTCACAGACACCATTTCGCCACACCGCAGTCACTTCACAGACACCATTTCGCCACACCGCAGTCACTTCACAGACACCATTTCGCCACACCGCAGTCACTTCACAGACACCATTTCGCCACACCGCAGTCACTTCACAGACACCATTCAAAACACCACTACGATACACCAGAGAAGCGTCAGAGAAAAGTATTGACTTAACGGTCCTTCAGAACTCTAATCCGACCCCCTAGCCCCTCCTCATTTAATCCCCCACAGTCTGACACCGGATATTCCGTGATTTCCATTGAATGGAATCTGGTATTTGAGGGGGCTTCTGGGAAGTGGAGAGCTTAACATGTAAGGGAGGTAAACCCGCCGGTATAATTGCCAGAACAACTGTGGTAAATCCGAAAGATAACATTTGATTGTCGTCCCTTTCTGGGCGATGTTTAGACATATTACTTGAAAAGTGGGGGTATTACGATATTACATTTTGGAGGGTGGTTTTTTTTTCATATTTTGTATTGTGTTCTATTTAAACAAGATTTTTTTTTTTAATTCAAGATAGTTTCTTTTTTTTTTTTAAATGACGTTTGTATTTTTTTACATTTTAGATTTTTGTTTGAAGTCTTTTGTTATCAAAACTTTTGTAGAATCGAATCTGCATCGCATGTTCTACACAGATTCAAGTACTGACTAATCGATAATCGCAGTGGCAAAATCGGTGCCGCTTTGAGCAGTAGCTAGTCCCTTGTTGGCCTATTTGTCTTCGGTAATATTTTTTTTTCTTGCTGTGCTCTTTCCCTTCTTCATTCTAAATTGTAACAACGAAGGGGTTACAAAAGTCAAATAACAAGACCAACATTTTTCCTTCAATGTAATTCAGTACTACGTATCAACATGTAAATGCGTCGTCTTTGCTCTATGAATTCAGTACGTTTTGTCTGAATGTATTGCCCTAAAGTTTGTTCAAACAACTCCACATCAGCGAGATAAAATTGTTTGGTTTCAGAGTTTTCAGGCATAGTCAAGCAGGTTTTATTTTTTAGTAGACAAAATTTTTTGAAGCAAATCCTGATAGAAAAGCAGGCTGCAGTCGGAGTCTATGGATACTATAGCCCCTAACATGTTGAAACGTAATGCTTAATTCTGTTAAAAAAATTAAATTTGATGATTTCAAAGCTTTTTCTCCAAAATGGGTTACTATCGTATAGCTCCACTCCAGTGTTTCTTCCAGACTTTTTTCTCCGGGGGGGGGCACTTGAAATTTTCGGGGGGGGGGGGCGGTAAACTTTCTTCGAGGGGGGGGGGGCGGACACTGTTAAAAGTATATATTTTCTATATAAATTATATAAATTTCATTTCGTTCGGGGGGGGGGGGGCGGTAAAAAGCCCCCCCCCCCCCCCCCGAAGTGATGCCTGGAAGAAACTCTGCTCCCCTCATCCATGTGCTCAATATATTATTAATATAGTTTTTTTTTTTTGTTAGCTTTACATTTCAATTGTATATAAAAAAGAAAAAAAAAACAGTTATGGATTCTAATAAAGAAATGTAGCATTTTTAAAAGTATGTTCTCAGTAGATCGTAACCCTGTTTTACAAATAGTAATATGCTGTCGTATACCGTAAAAAAAAACATATTTCTTAAACGCACTTAAAGAGCACAAAAGGTAAACAAACACACCACATCAAAAACACAACACAGCAAAAACACACCTTGCATTTGTTTTTGGGTAGAGGAGGCAGTGTTTAACAGCATCTATAGATTAACATCATTTATATATTACCTATCGAAACGCTAACCCTAAACTAAATCTCGACCACTACCCGTATAAACACTTGAGATAACAAACTACGGATATCGAACACATCACAGCATTACCCCCTCCCCTCTCATCTCCCCCCTCCCCCACACTTGTGAAATAGTACCCCTAAACAATTTAATTTTTTCTTAGATCAATAAAAAAAAATTTCAACAAAATACAGGGCATTAAAGTAGGCGGAATAACTCCGCGCTAATGCCAAACGGCAGAGTGCTCGGCAACTCTGAGAGAACAGGTTCTGGGGAGGTAGTGGGGGGAAAACTAATAATGGCCTGCGTTATGGTCTGTAAAATGGCACTTGTAGCTCCACATAAAGCCGGATTTAAAACGAATCCGGATAGATCTGGGGATTGCAGTCCGTCTGACATTTTGTTTGAGGAGGGGGGGGGAGAGGTAGGGGATTGTATTGTTCATGTGGGGTAATAAAAGAAAGCATAAAAGATTGTTTAATGGGCCATATAGACAGGAGGGGGGGATTCATAGAGAGATGAAGTGGGTTGAGAAGGCAGATATAAAGCCACGTCTTAGAAGTCTGTTTGATGAACTAATTGATAAACTAGTACATACACAAGGGACAGGTAGACAGAGAGACGGACAGACGGACAGACAGACAGACGGACAGACGGACAGACGGACAGACGGACAGACGGACAGACGGACAGACAGACAGACTGACAGACAGACAGACTGACAGGCAGCCACACCGAAACACACACAGTCGGACAGACGGACAGACGGACAGACGGACAGACGGACAGACGGACAGACAGACTGACAGGCAGCCACACCGAAACACACACAGACGGACATGCACCAACACAGACAGATAAGCCTAGAGGGCTTATACCGATAAGCATGCATATACACATTAAGACATACAAACACATACATCGACACACATGCCATCATTGACAGGCACGCACATACACATGCAGGCTTACACATACACAGATAGACTTACGCATACACAGATAGACTTGCACGTATACAAATACATACACATCAAACTTGCACAAACACAGACATGCATATACACATACAGATGTGCACATGCACAAACTCCAATATACACTTGCAGGTTTATACATACAGACATGAACATATACATACAGATTTGTACATACACATACAGACTTAAACATACACAAACTCGCAAAATAGCAGACAGACTCGCACATACACAGATAGACTTGTACATACAGAGACATACGTGCACATGCACAAACAGACTTACACATACACAAACAGACTTACACATACACAGACAGACTTACACATACACTTACAGACTCGCTCATACACAGACAGACACCAGACAGACGGACAAGTAGTACAAAACCACAGTAGATTTGAATTATTGATTTCTGTGAACAATTAGCGCCGTATTGATCTGTTAGCCTATGAATGAACATAGGGAGAACACACATACATATGTAGATCCTAGACACATACATATGTAGATCCTACACACATACATATGTAGCTCCTACACACATACATATGTATATCTAAATGAGGTAACTCCTTTATCTAGTAACCAATGGTCCTTAAACTACACTGTTTGTTTTAACAGAAATCAGTGGTCCTTAAACTATACTACTAGTCACAACAGAAATCAGAGGTCCTTAAACTATACCGCTAGTTCCAACAGCAACCAATAGTACTTAAACTAGGCTGTTAGTTACAGCTCTTAATTCCATATTTGGCTTTTATTTGAAGCCTATTTTATTAAAGGCTACAAGGGGTGAGTCAAAGTTATGCTTAGCTACTGTTGCTATTTTAAAATCATTTTAATAAGAGTTTTTTGGTTACGAGAAAGAGGGGAGGGCTAAAGTATGTATTAAATTTTATAATCGGGTCGGGGTTTGAAGTCCGAAAATGGCCAAAACATCGTTACATCATAATATTGACAAGGATGAAGATAAAAGTGAAGATAAAAGTTTGAGACTTACGGGCACGTCGTATAAAGGCGTTGGTTGTGTATGCTGGATGGTGCTCGATGTAGGAGCCTTGGACGTCACAGGTGGTGGCTATAGATAGCTTGGTGTCTTTTTCGGATATAACGGGGCTGAGTAGGTTGGGGCCGTCTCCTGGGCCTGGGGAATGGGGGGAACATAATTAGTTAAATTTAATTGGGGGGTGGGGGCTGGGATTTCTTGTCCGTGTTGTCGACTTGACAAAAGGTCTTATAGTCGTGTGGTGTTATGGTGTTATGGTGTCATGGTTTATTGTACTATAGTCAAGCTATCCAATAGACGATGGTTCTTATGCTCGATGAGTATATGGTTGAACGGTCTTATGGTCGTATGGTGTTATGGTGTTATGGTTTATTGTAATATGGTACGAGGGTTCTTATGCTCGCTGAGTGTATGGTTGAGTGGTCGTATAATGGTCAAGTAGACTAATGATGGAGTGTTCTTATAGTCGAGTGGTCGAGTGGTCTTATGGTCGTGATCTTTAAGTCGAGTGGTCTGAAAGTCAAAAGTCACATTGGTAGAAGTAGAATGATCTTCTTGCTTTCCTTCAAAATATAATTTAAAAAAACAAGGAAGAAGAAAACTCCACACTCTTCCCAAAGGTACAGTCACTGAGACACAGAAGATCACCCTAATGGCTTGGAGATAAAACAACGCGCTGACCAGTGTCCAAGATCCCCCCCCTCCCCATGACTAGAAGATAAAACAACGCGCTGACCAGTGCTGACCAGTGTCCAGCGGTACTCACCTATGAGTCTCAGCACCACATACTCAGCCCGAGGGTGGTCGGCGATGTAACTGAACCCCAAGCACAGCACCCCGTCATCCTCGTTCTTGTACTTGGGGCGTCTGGGAAATATTGAAACACAGAAATGTTTTGATATGCTGGAGGGGTAACTCGGGGTTCATGTAGTAGGGTATTGTAAAGGGAGGCGCTATGTTCCATAAGGAGGAAAGTCAAGTAAGTCAAGTATTATAAGGGGAATAAAGCAGACAAAATGGTGGGAGGGAAGCAAGGTAGGTTGTGATAGGGGAAGTAAATACAAAGTGGGGTAAACGAAAATAAACGGGTAAATAATTAAAGGGGAGGTAAGCACAAAGTGGTGTAAGGGGAAGTAAGCTGGCGAAGTATCGCAAGGGGAATTTTTTTTTAATTGTAATATAACGGGAAAAAGCAGTAGTGGATGTTTTTAAAAAACCGACAAGGATAAAACTAACAATATGGAAAAATACCTATAGGAACAAAAGCCTTGACAAAAGACCAACATGGACAAAATGCCGACATAGACAGAAGGCTGAAAATGGTCAAAAGTCTGGCAAAATCCACAATCACTTTACTATTATCGAACAATCAAATAACAGTCATTGCTCAATCTCCAAAAAAGTAAGGAAAAATCTCCACGTAATTAACTGTCAAACCATTTCGTAAGAGACACATTTTACGGCATAATTTACTGCTAATTAATTAATCATAATGTAAGTAATAATTCTGAAAAAGGAAAATTACAGACAGCCATTAACCCAGCTTCCACGTATTCTCTTCTCGTGCAGATTGTTATAACTCTAACGTTAACGTAGTAAAAATTAACGCATTTTACTGATTAACCCAAGACGCTAATTCCAATGCTAAACTCCTTTGTACCCTTACGTCCGAATTATCTAAATGCCTGCCATTACGATGAGCCCGAACATTCTTCAGAAAAATATTTTATTCAAGTAATCTCAACCAGCGTATGGGGCCGGGCCTTCAATTTCCCCAGGAACATTTCAATTTTTTTTCGTCAAGAGTTTTGTAGAAATGTATTAAGGGGGGGGGGGGGGTATTTTACTTAATATAAACATTAAAAAAACCGATTTATCAAACTCGTGAAATAGGTAATTATTTCTGCTCTTGTTCCATTAAAAGAGGTTGCCTAGTTTTCTTACAGTGGGTCGTGAGATTTGGGAACACAACGAAACAATTGTTTTATTTAACACAAGGCGGACTTCCACTCGGGCGATAGGTTCAGAAAAAAAAAGAATTCGTCAAACTACTATTTTAGTAAGTCCATTATGTTTATTTTATAATGTAATGTACAGATCAGATTTTAGTTTAACAAAAAGCAAACGGTAAATTCGATGTGCAGATTGTTGAGGCATAATAATGTAGTTTGAGTATTTTTTGCAGCTTATTCTTTATTTCTTTCTTTACCCAAAAAAAAGCTGGAAGTCGTTTAAAGCTGAGAGTACTCAATTTTTTGCCGGAATTTTATTAGGATTTAAAACTTAATTTCTACCTGCGCTATGTTACGTTTTAAACCTGGACTCATCTGAGCAAGCAAATGTTAACAATATAACTCTGCTAACTGTCTACTTTACTCACCTGAATGTTAACAACAGAACTATGCCAACTGTTAACTTTAGATTCACCTGAGCAGGTGAATGTTAACAATAGGTCTCTGTCAACTGTTAACTTTAGATTCACCTGAGCAGGTAAAATGTTAACAATGCAACTCTGTCAACTGTCAACTTTACTCACCTGAGCAGGTAAATGTTGCCTTGACTCTCCACGCACCTGTACTTGATGACCTTGGTCTTGCCATGCTTGTAGACGACCTGGTGAGCACGGATACGGATGAAGACGTGCTTGCTCTGGTCAATGAAGTGCCACTTGTCCCTCAGGCGTTGTTGCGTCACACAAGCTGCACGTCAAAGGGGGAAAAAGTTTAGCTGGAGTTGTCGTTCGTTTAAAGAAAAAAAAAATAAGTCGATAGTTTCCCTTTAGGGGTTATCCGTAATGATGTCCACGAGAAAAGGAAGGTCAGATAAAAATAGACGAGTGTGGAAGGAGATCGGAAATTATGTTTTGTATTTCATTTATGGTTGGTCCCTTATCATTGAGTTATAGCTCTTTATTGTGTATTCTTCTTCTTCGTTCTTAATTTTTAGTGTTGGAGGGGATCGAGCCTTATCTGCCAGAGGGTTTGAACTCGAGACATTTTCGCATTTATCAACCATTAGCTTTGGCCGACTCAACCACGCCTCCATCACAATTAAGGATACGTGTCAACTGGTTATGCGCCATTGAGGCCATTGACTCCGATTTCAGCCTGCTTTTCTTTTGGATCTGCTTCCATAGCCTTTGTCCAACCAAGAACAAACTACAAGGCAGCAGTTGTTTGATTTTGGAGTTGTCTCTCCTAGAAGAGTTGCTGTCCCAGCTAACGAGACTCATCTGCCCGAAGGTTCGAACTCGAGTATTGTGTATTATTTTGCTAGAACTAAGTTCCAATTTTTATTCAGGTCAGCTTAAAATGCCTATACTTGTACGTAGAAATGCCTTAATGCATTGCAAAATAATTATCAAAGCATGAAAAAAAATAGACCAGCCTAAAGTAATATGCAAATCGTTTATCTTGTATTTAATAACCTCGTAAAATTTAAGCTGTGTGTTTTTCTTCTAGGATTTGACCTTCCGTTCTTGCTACTGTCCCAGTTGCTACATCCACTATGCCAATCTCTCTCTACTACAATCCTAATCCCATACCGGTACCTTAAGTTTACAAAGACAAACTAATTACAATCAGATGTTTTTAATTAAAACCCACATCTACTCAACCGGGTAAACCTCAATCGATGACGTCATTAAAGATTGAAAGAAAACTAATTAACTTTTAAACAGCGTGTCGTGTGCTCTGTCCCCACCCCCACACGCCAATCCCCCCTCCCCCTATGCCCTCCAGCTCCACTTAAAGACGAAACATCAATTTGATACTAATGGATAAATAATTCCCAACAGCGTGCATTTGGATGAGTACTGAATCAGCTGTGGTGAGCGGATATTTTTCTAGAACATTCAGACCTAACCGTGTTTGTCGAAATTGATTGCTTTAATGGTAGTAAAATATAAATTAAAAGGGACGGCGTGGTCGTGGGTTAAGTCGCACAGTTACCAAGCTAGAAGTCTGGAGTTCTGTTCTTAGACCTGATTGTAAAATAAAAAAAGTAAAGTTTCCTTTTCAAGGATGACGGGTCCATTGAGCAAGTGAAGTAGAGTGTTCACCTGTTTCTGTGACCTCGACATATGAAGAGATAGTGAGGTCAGCACTATCGGCCGCCTTTGCTTTCCCTAATGTGTGTCAGGTACTCATTAGTGCTGGCTAGACTCAGGAACGTTCTACTGACTTGAACCCGGATTCGAACTCAAGACAGTCAGGTTAGCAGTCTAGCGCTCTACCGCTAGGCCACACGGTCCCAAGGCCAGTATGTATCAGACACTAAAAGTCTAGAGATTTGTTCTCAGGCCTGGGTACACAAGACTTCTATGAAGAGTACCTGGATAAAGCCTGGGTACATAAGACTTAACTGACGAGTACCTGACTAAAGTCTGGGTACACACGACTTCTATGAAGAGTACCTGGATAAAGCCTGGGTACACAAGACTTCTATGAAGAGTACCTGGATAAAGCCTGGGTACACAAGACTTCTATGAAGAGTACCTGGATAAAGCCTGGGTACACCATACTTCTATGAAGAGTACCTGGATAAAGCCTGGGTACACAAGACTTCACTGACGAGTACCTGACTCAAGTCTAGGAAAGCTAAGGACGCAGATCTGCCTACATTATTCTTTTATATACACCAGTCAGTAAAACAAATACATTAAATAAACTAACCCCCATAAACTTTCTGGTCTAAGAGGGTATTATAATTTCTTTTAACGTTTATTTAACCCGTTAAAGAAAATAAACTATAAAAATATCAAGCCTTTTTCTTAACTTTCAAACGAATGTGCCGTCTGTATAGCGATATGGACCATTAGACAAACAAGTGTTTGGGGGCATTAAAGACATTTGTAAGAAATAAAAAATGCATTCAGTAAGTACATAATGGAATGTGTATGCAACTGTTCACATGAGACGACAGATACTACATCAGTTTAGCGGAGGAATGCTGTTAATTTTTACCTGAGACATGTATTAATTGTAATTACAACTAACGAGGGTTGAGCAATTAACCAGGGTAAGTAAGCCAGACTCGCTACCGCCCGCGACATTAAAATACATTAAGTCATACTTCCGGTCGTTTGGGCGCTGGCGTCCCTCGGTGGTGAAAAATAAAGGGGGTACAAAATGCCCAAGTGTGAACCTTTTCTAGCCATGTTTAGTTTAGTTTAGTAAATCGAGTTTCGTATTTAACAGGTCGGTATAAGGGTCCATAACTATAAATACATTTTATTTTGCTTAATCAAGACAGAGTGGAACGCCGGAGATTTGTTTCTGCCCTATACTCCACAGAGAGTGATGAGGATTAAGTAAGTAAGTTATCGGGACACTGTTTATTTTGGAGTGCCGTTTATTTGGGTCTAATTGAAAAGAAATAATTAGGGACAGTGTGTTTTATTTTTTCTTCGCATCTTAGTACAGCGGCCTAATCCAACAACTTCCTGACCCTCCCATCCTCTCTCCTCCCCTCCCCTCCCTCCCTTCCTCCCTCCCCTTTCTCCCTCACTCCCTCCCACAGTAGTACTGACGTACAACACTGCTGGGGGGTCAAAGGTCAAATGGCGTGTACTTACTTTGACGCCGATGACGTCTGGACCACGTGACCGGAATCAGCAGCAGACAGGTGAGTGCTATGAGAGAACGGTGGATATTCATCCTTCACATTATGTTGGCGGCTGGCCCAAGGTCAAGGTCATGGCCTTTTGTTGTTCTTGTCTTCGCTGTTGAAATACAAAAAAAATTGCCCTATTTTAAAGTAATTTAAAGTACTATAATGAAATTATATTTTTTTAAGTTGCAGGATTTCCTTTATCTATGCCTTTGTTTAAAATTTTATTTTGTTTAATTATTTTAAACTGATATTCATTGCCAGATTAACCCTACAAATAAACCGTGAGTGATCTCCCCTAAACTTTCTCGAATATTCTTATATAACACTACGGGGGATGGCTACTTGTGATATAGACATGATTTTTAATTACTTTAACTTTTTAAAATAGAATAGAATCTCGTGGAAAAAAATTGCGCACCAAGCAAACGCCAAGCAAAAAGTGTATAATAGTGCGGAGTATTATTAGTACTTAATAAATTCACATGGGTTTTTCGAGAAATCGGAAATAGAGTAAATTACTACTTCCGGTCAACGGAAATTACTCAAAATTTGAAATTACTTGAAATTGCATTTATCTAAAATAGTACTCAAGTTATAGACTTTTGAAAAATTTCCATTTACGGTTATCGGAAATCGCTGAAAAGTTGATACGGACCTACAAATGTGATATAATACTTGTATAAGAAATTTCATCAACCTAGCTGTAACGGTACTCAAGTTATCGTGTTTACACACACACACACACAGACATACAGACAAGATTGCAATACAATGTTTTTCCGACTCAAAGAGGTGTAAAACGGCGAGATTTGCAAAAAAACTTTTTTTTGCACTATTACAAGACTTTCACCATACTTCGTATACGAGAAAGTAAAAAGCGGACGATCAGTAGGTCCGTTATTGTTATCTTCGAGCCTAATTTTACTTGGCTAAATACAAAAACATAGCCGCGATTTAGCAATACTTAAACCCAAAGTTTGAGGGATAATATTTGTTTAATGATGAAATATCTTAATATGCGATAGCAACCAAATAAATATGTAAATCTGGCTAATTAGTTTTTTCTTTGTTCTTGTTTTTTTTTTTCAAATAATTTGAGTTTTAAGATATTAGATAATTTTTTTTTCTGCGAAATAATCCTAACAATTCAGATTGCCATACCGCTCTGATTAGCACAATTTCAAACGTGTCCAATCGAACTTTTTTTTTTTCAAATGTACTCTTGTACTTAACATTTATATCCCATCCCAGAATCCCAGAATATATAAATATGTAAAATCATGGGGGGGATTAATTTCTCCACCCGGAAATGATCCGCCACCATGGTTATGGGTGTAGGGAATACAGAGGAGTGCTACCCCCCCCCCCCCCCTCTGTTGTTTACAGCTCTCTGCACTCTACCCTCAACAATCACCACCACGTCCCATGGCGCCGAGTTTTGCATGAATTTTTTATTTGGTCTTTTTTTTTTATTTCGTAAAAGATTATTGTTTTGTTGTAAATTTCCGAAATTTTGAAATAAAACTATCGTTAACCGAAAATGGAACAAAATATTTTGTTCAATCATTCAAGTATCTGGATTTATTTGTTCTCGCTCAACATTAAAGATTTTCTATTATTCCTGAAAGATTAGATATTCGAGGGTAGCTGTTATCAAACATTCATTTCTAACGTGTACACAAACATGTTTGGATATTGTAATTACACCAAAAAAATTGATAATTGCCTTCGTAAAAAAAAAAACAGCCTCTCATTTCTTCATTCACAATTATAAGGTTAAAAATATATCAAGGTTGATGATTTTAGAAAAAAATAGAACTCATTACAAAGAGTTTCATTTTTTCTTTGCGTCGTTTCAAGAGTTTCTCAGTCACATGACTAAAGTTTAGCAACGTCGTAAATGGATGTTATTTAAGACTGTTCATTCAAAAAGTTGTAATTAGTTATTTGTGACTGTCCAATGAAAGGAATACACCCATGTTATGTCTACATGACTGCAAGTATTACGTAAGGCAAACAATAATGTATTGTTACATAACATTAAAAAATAATGTTTCTTTATATAATAGCAACAATATTACATTGTAACAAAGCATCAACAATACTGTATTGCTACAGGCCATTACAGCATTGTTGTTTAGTGTGGTATGCTGTGCTGTGTATGTTTTATGTAGTGTTGTATGCTGTGCTGTGCATGTTTTATGTAGTGTTGTATGCTGTCCTGTGTGTGTTTTATGTAGTGTTGTATGCTGTGCTGTGCATCTTTTATGTAGTGTTATGTGCTGTCCTGTGTGTGTTTTATGTAGTGTTGAATGCTGTGCTGTGCATCTTTTATGTAGTGTTGTGTGCTGTCCTGTGTGTGTTTTATGTAGTGTTGTATGCTGTGCTGTTTATGTTTTATGTAGTGTTGTATGCTGTGTTGTGCATGTTTTATGTAGTGTTGTATGCTGTGCTGTGCGTGTTTTATGAAGTGTTGTATGCTGTGTTGTGCATGTTTTATGTAGTGCTGTATGTTGTGCTGTGTATCTTTTATGTTGTGTTGTATGCTGTGTTGTGCATGTTTTATTTAGCGTTTTTTATGCTGTGCTGTGCATGTTTATTTAGTGTTGTATGCTGTGATGTGTATGTTTTATGTCGTTTTGTATGCTGTGCTATGCTGTGTATGTTTTATATAGTGTTGTATGCTGTCCTGTGTGTGTTTTATGTAGTGTTGTATGCTGTGCTATGGTGTGGTGTATGTGTTTTATGTAGTGCTGTAGCTGTGCTGTCCATGTTTCATGTAGTGTTGTATGATGTGCTGTCCATGTTTCATATGTATAGTGTCGTGATGTGTTCTACACTGTGCTGTGAATGTATCGTGTTACTTCTAGAGTTTTTTTCTGTCTTTTTTTTTTGCGTTGTTTTGCACTGTTTAACAAGAAGAAATATCATTTATCTATCATCAGAACAACCTACCTTAATCTTATCATCAAAGAATTTCTAATTTTTAACCATACATCCCCCGTGTCACCTTAACAATACGGCTTCATGCTGGCTTTATACCGGCATTGTGCCGGTTAAAGCGTCTAGGATTATATAGAGGGAAAAATATCATGCTAGGGATCATTAACTTCCGGTCAAAGCTGCAGGACGGGAAGACAGAAATAAATTCCGCATAAAAATCTGGAATCTTCCCATCAACACTAAGATTAGTTTCCTAGCTATTGATTTTTGATCAGGGTTTATAAAAGAATATAACAAAATTCAATTTTAATTTTTCCGGGGTGAGGTTCTGGTGCAGATAGTTAAACAACCGGATTTTCAACGAGGCTGCTTGTTAGGTGTATTAATTAATGTAGAGTGGATGGTGATAGACAGTGGGTCTAAGGTTGGCTAAAGCAAAGCTGAGAAAATAAAAAGCATGTATCTTTAATAAGAATATTTTCGTGTATTGTGCAGACGAAATACTTTTTCCAAATACACTGGCAACCATAGTTTTGTTAACGTAAGTCTGTATTTAAAGGTCACACACACACCTAGGTATATATATATATATATATATATATATATATATATATAAATATATATATTCCTAGGTATATATATATATATATATATATATATATATATATATATATATATATATATATATATATATACATAAAACCAACGTTTTTTAATTGATGCTTTAGAAATGTGACTTTAAGTTGTCAAGTACAAAGTATTTTATAGTTTCTAGTCTTAAGTGTAGAGTTTTTATTTTAGACGCTTTGTTAATAGTTCCCACACCCTAAACTAGACGGACTAATCTTTAACATCCTAAATAATAAATAACGGCTGGCTTTTATGTTGCAACACCCTGACAAAATAGACTCGTCTTAAACCACATAACTCTAGCTCAGGGGTCTCCAAACTACGGCCCGCGGGCCTGATGCGGCCCGTGAGGTCCTCTCATCCGGCCGGCGGAGATCTTTTTTCCACGGAAATAAGTGTTTGTTGGAGGTGGCTGAGGAACTTTATCCAGAAAATTCAAAACAATTTGGAAAAGTAGCTTTGGGTGCAAAACTTTTGCATCAAAGTACCTTTCAATTTTTGGAACAACATACCAGTGTGAACAAAAAATTTCAGGATTGAAATACGTGAATAATAATTTGAGAGCAAACTTGGACCTCAAATGTGTTGTCGGCACCCGACAGTGTTTTCTCCAGATTTTTTTCCCAGAGGGGTGGGGGTACTTAACATGTGTATATATTTGAGGGGGGTGGGGGTGGTAAACGTTCTGGGGGGGGGGGCTTCGCCACCCCGAAGAGATGCCCGGAAGAAACTTTGCCCCCCCCCCCTTACTGATATTTGATAGTTAATCCGGCCCTCGGGGTGAAAAATTTGGAGACCCCTGCTTTAGCTTGATAGACTAGACTCAACATTCTTGACGCTAACTAACTGAAATAGACTCGTATTAAACCACATAACTCTAGCTTGATAGACTAGACTTAACATTCTTGTCGCTAACTAACTGAAATAGACTCGTGTTAAACCACATAACTCTAGCTTGATAGACTAGATTTAACCTGATAGACAAAAACTAAGTCGATTAATCTTAACCACACAGTAACCTTAACTACTAGATACTCAGCACATACAGTGCTCAAACTTCACAATTTGACGCCTCCCGTGAAATGTGAAGTTTGAGCACTGTATGTGCGCTAGTTTGTGCTGTGTCTCCCGTGAAATACCCCTCCCCTTTACCCTCTTATGACCTTCCTTTTTTTCTCTCTGTCATAGCTGATATTATGCGTCTCCACTGTCTACCTACTTTAGCCTAACAAAATGTCTGTAACATCATAATATGTATAAAAGGACACCAATATGTTTTATACACTGTGACAAGTAGCTGTGTGGTTGTACAGTTTTACGAAAATAAAAAAATTACATAACACATCTAGTTATCTCCCATTTAGCCAATTATATCAGCAAAGTTCCAAACGAATAATTAGATTATCTTTTCTTTAGTATGTAAACCGCTCGCGGTGGTGTGACGTCGGGTGTTCAAATACACACACACACACACACGCACACACACACGTATTACGGGACGTCACGTGGTACTGGTAGACGTTTGAATGAGCCAGTCTGCACCTAGTGAACCTACCCATTGATTCAATGAGACCAGGTCTAATGGGACATCACTCTAGGGGGGGGGGGAGATTTTGTTCTATAAATAACGGCAAGTAATCCTGGCTTTAATTAGAGTAATTAGAGTGAAGGAACTGTACATATTATATACGAGAAAAATGGCCCGTTGAGGAAGGGTACAACGGGCGCTAGGCTGATAGTGCTGTCTCTTTTCTCTAAACTAAAACCAACCCACCCCCCCACACACCACCCCCCATCCCCCCCCCCACCCCCACACACCACCCCCACCCCCACCACACACCACCCCCACCCCACCCCTCACCCCCACACACCACCCCCTCCACACACCGCCCCCCCCACCCCCCCACCCCCCCCCCCCCCCAAAAAAAAAAACATGTCTACCGTCCCATTCAACGAAATATAATTATATACTTTTTCCAGTGTCCGCCCCCTCCCAGAAAATTCTACCCCCGCCCCCGAAAATTTCAAGTACCCCCACCCCTCTCCGGGGAGGAAAAAGTCTGAAAGAAACACTGAAACCAACCCACCCCCCCACACACCACCCCCCACCCCCCCACACACCACCCCCCATCCCCCCCCCACACACCACCTCCCATCCCCCCCACCCCCCACCCCCCCCCACCCCTCCACCACCCCCCACCCCCCAAAAAAAACATGTCTACCGTCCCATTCAACGAAATATAATTATATACTTTTTCCAGTGTCCGCCCCCTCCCAGAAAATTCTACCCCCGCCCCCGAAAATTTCAAGTACCCCCACCCCTCTCCGGGGAGGAAAAAGTCTGAAAGAAACACTGTAACCAACCCAACCCCCACACACCACCCCCCACCCCCCTCCCCACCCCTACACACCACCCCCCCCCCCCCACCCCTCCACCCCCCCCCCCCCCAACCCCCCCCCAAAAAAAAAACATGTCTACCGTCCCATTGCAAGAAAACCACTTTTTAGATTAGACACATTAATTAGGCTGTAATTTTATTATAGAGTATCGATGAGGAAATTTCTTTTGAGTTGGGGAGGGGGGGGGGCTCAGACGTTCTTACGCGGGGGGTGGGGCTTCGCCCCTACCCGAAGAATTGTATGCAAGAAACTCTTCACGCAAACCATTTAGATTAGACAACATTTCCTTTTTTTCAATGTTTACGCGATAATCAATGACGTCATATTACTGTGTGCACTCTCTGGTTTGAGATTATGTTCTACTCTACGCTAAATGTGTCGACGTCATATTTCGTTTTTCGAATTACTGTGCATGTTTTTATTTTGCTTGTGTTTTCTCTAGAGCGTTCTTGTCAGACAGAGCGTTCTTGTCAGACAGCGAAACTATTAGTATTAATTGGATTATACTATATACAGAAAAAGTTTTTTATATCTTTTTTATGGTGTAGGGCAGGTGAAGTAGAATTCAAATGGTTAAGTTACCTCCACATATAAAGGGATAGTTTAGTCGACTTAACTTTATCTAAACTGAGTCAGGTACCCATTAGAGCTGTGTCGACTCTGGGACTCGAGATCCTAAATCCGAACTTAGACTGACGGGCTAACAGTCTTGCGCTCTACCGTCCAACTTTTACGATTGAACGAAGGCTTTACATGAACGGAGAGATGGAAGGATGGACCAGCAGTGTGACTAATTAGATTAATTAAAGATTGATTAATTGTATGGAAAAAAAGTGGTGGACGAGACAAAAAATCAATAAAACTCATTAATAATTAAATCGCATGATTCTTTGAGAGAAAAATCGATTAATAAATAATTAATAGCTTAACTTTTCAAGATTAAGAGGTTGTTAAAATTTAAAGGTTAAAAAATCAAAAGTTAGCATTATCTTTTAGAAAGCATGTTAATTCGTTCCTATAATTGGATGTGGCAAGTTGTTTATAAAACTTACCTATACACCATAGTGGATATATTATGATGGATAGATTGTAGGAGATAAAGTATAGTGGGGACGGAGTGGTCTAGCGGTAGAGAGCTGGACTACTAACCCTTAAGTCTGGATGTCGAATCCGGGTTCAAGTCAGTAGACCGTCCCTGAGTCCCCCCAACTCTGATGGGTACCTAACTCACGTTAGGGAAAGTAAAGGCGGCTGGGCATAGTGCTGACCACACTTTCTCTTCATATGCCGAGGTCACAGAAACAAGTGAACTCTACTTCACTTCCCCTATAGACCGTCAGGTTTGGAAAAAGGGAACTTTTAAAGTATAGTGGACACTTATAGTGGATACATCGATAGTGGATACGCTAAAGTGAATGCTCTATAGTGGATACATTGTGGTGGATAAATTGTTGTAGATAAAATATAGTGGATACTTTATAATGGATACCCAAAAGTGGATGCACTATAGTGGATATGCTAGGCGTAGAACACCTTAGTTTTATTCGTTAATAACGGTTGTTTTTTTTTAAATTGTTTGGATATAAATTCTTAAAGAAATGTCATTACACGCATGCCTACGAAATGACATAAGTGCAGTATATTGATGTATTCTGTAGACAGATACACATTTTAGCATTCATACATTTGCTTTTTTATATATTACAGTATTGTTAAATAACTTAATTACACCTTAATTGATTGATTTATCAACACATGCGTTCAATTAAATACGCACGTGCTTAAAAGGTGCATATATACTTACCTTTCTCTAAATAAACAATTTGACTATAATCCTGATTTATTCGAAATAGTTCAATAATCCTTCTAGGTCAAAATTTTTCAAAAGTACAGCACAGAATTAATAATTTATTTTCCTTTCCTTGAAATCAACACGCAAAGATTATTCCGTCTGTTAATCTCTCCGCTCTAATCCCCATGCCTCACGCCACGCTAAATATTCCGATTAGCCCGGACAATTCTACCGCACTGAAACTAATTTCCGCCCCGGCTGAATATCCACTGTGTCCGTCCCCACACGGCTCCCATCGACCAACCCGCACCAGCGCGGCGCCTCATTCTCCCCCAGGTCGCACCCAGCACCCTTTGCCCCGACCGTCGCGTCCGGTGAATAGCAGTGCACCCCCTCGATCCGCAGACCGGAAAATCGTCCGTGCTTTTCCGATTTCACTCCAATAGGCAAAGCAAAACACTCGATGTGCGGGGAGTAAATAATGAAATGGAATATAGGAAGAAAAAAAAAAACGTCTATACGGGGATCAAGTACACGGTAAAACTACGCGACACAACAATAATACTACAATACTAGCAATGTTCCCGTTAGGAATACGGGCACTAAAATTATTGTTGCATTTTTCGATTAATATCGGCAGTAGTGCTGTTATGTGATATGAAAGCAAAAAGCTTACAACAAAAAAGAAGATACTTTTAATACTGTGAACGTTTAACACACGTATATGTCACATGCAGTGTTTCTTTCAGGCATCTCTCCGTGAACGCTTCTCATATTTAAACCTTTTCCAGCCCACCTCCACCCCCCTCCCAGGAAGGTTCAAGTCAAGCCCTACCCCCCCCCCCCACATTGGTATATCTAAAAGAACTCTTGGATGTCCATTTGAGTACCCCTATATCTTGAGTAGATATTTTTATCAGATGCAGGTTTCAAACCCTCAAACAAAACTTCATATATATATATATATATATATATATATATATATATATAATATATATATATATATATATATATATATATATATATATATATATATATATATATTTATATTTATATATATTTATATTTATATATATTTATATTTATATATATATATATATATATATATGTAGGCTATGTATAGGCTATATATATATATATATATATATATATATATATATATATATATATATATATATATATATATAGTGAAACGCCACCTTCGTTCAACCACCAGCTACACCACTGATCACAAATATAAGAGTACTTACAATTTATTGAATAATAATTGTAATTAGCTGCTACTTACGTTTATATCACGCTGTAATACGTTAATCAAGTACTTGAGAAAGCTACATCCATGTTAACTCTGCCACACTTTAAAACACATCCTCATCCTAGATTACCTCATGTTTATCACACGGCACTTAACATTATCCCAAGTATGAAAAATTTCACCACAAATATTGTATCACAAAAAAATACTATTCACGCCTATATGTGAATTCAGCAAAGAAACTTCGACGTACTGATTTTTATTTTCTTTTTACGTTCTTTTATTTCGATAGGGCCTTTACCACGCACATAGGCCGGCGGTCTTTGGACTTTGAATTGAGGAGTTTACGTGGATCAAACAGGGGCGACAATGAACCTTGACTGCGTCTTCAGCAGTCGGCCAGCTACGCTGTGTGGAGACGCGGGGGTAAAGGGCGGTAATCGAGTGGGAGAAAGCCTGGGTTAGACTGTGGACCTGCTGGTATTCAAACCGTGCTGAATCCAGGTGGAGAATTGTTAAACTGTTCATTCAGGCCACCTCAAGCAAAACGTTCCTGTGTGAACTATTTGTCAAACTTTGCATTTCAGATGTGTATGTGAGATTGACGTAGGGCAGGGGTCGGCAACCTTTTGAAGCGGAAGAGCCAAAAGTTTCAATTTACAAAATTTCCCTGGTTTTAAAGAGCCACTAACATTGTTTTTATTTCAAATATTAAATTTTGTATTGAGATTATTAGTATTTGTTTAAGGAGCTGGAGAGCCGCATCTTGATATCAAAAGAGCCGCATGCGGCTCGCGAGCCGCAGGTTGCCGACCCCTGACGTAGGGTCATTTATATACAAGAAATAGCTTAGAATATAGAAACAAATCATTCATTTGTTGGCTAAATCTGACGAAGACCTAGTGCCGAAGCATACGTTACTGTCTCGTTGCTGACTTTTATTACTTTTACAATTCTTTTTTCGTTATCTCACTTTGTATTGTACTTACTTCATGAAGCCAAAACCTATTCTAAATATTTTTAAATTATTGTATTTATCATAAATTATTCATTTCATGCAACCTAAACCCGTTCTAAAAATTATAAAATTACTGTATTTATCATACTTATATCATGTAACCTAAACCCATTCTAAACTTTATAAAATTTACGTATTTATCATAATTATTTTATGCAACCTAAACGTGTTCTAAAAATTATAAAAGTATTGTATTTATCCTACTTATATCATGCAACCTAATATAAAGCTAGCTTTTTTTCTTTAGGGAGGTCTTATTTTAAATGTCTAGTTTAAAACCAACGTAACAAAAAAATACGAGGTAAATTTAGCTAAGTGTAGTATGTGCGATCTCACGTCTTTCTCGTGAGTATTTACAATGACCAACAAAGCCGCACACAAAATAGATGTCGCATCAAGAACTAGCTTGATATTTTTTTATATATTTAATTTTCTTGATATTTTTTTCAGGTTTATTTAGTGTAAAAATATTTTTGATAAAGTTGTATTTGATACGTTTTTTTTTTAAATAAATTAAAATACAGATGCACTATACTACAATTTTCTGATTTTATTTTTAATTTTTTCTGCATATAAATACAGTATTTTGATGCTTATTAAAGCGGCTTATATGAAAGATGCTCATTTAAGGATTATAAGTTTTGCAAAATAACTACTGTTTACAGGCGAGAATCAAAATTTTAAAAATTTTAAACAAATTTGTTTAGCACACAGGGTCAAAACACCAGATTAGCCCACCCAAGCCCTTGTCCCTCCCAGAGTTTTTTCCGGGCATCTCTTCGGGGGGGGGGGGGGGGGGGGGGCACCCTCAACCCCCCCCCCCCCCCGTCGAAGAAAGTCTACCACCACCCCCCTTCCGTACGAAATGGAATTTATATAGAAAATATATACTTTTGACAGTGTCCGCTCCCCCCCCCCCCGAAAATTGTTGTCCGTCCCCCCGAAAATTTCAAGTGTACCCCCGGAGAAAAAAGTCTGGAAAAAACACGTCCCTCTCAAAACACCATATTAGTCCACCAAAGCCCTTGTCCCTCCCAAAACACCAGATTAGCCCACCCAAGCCCTTGTCCCTCCCAAAACACCAGATTAGCCCACCCAAGCCCCTGTCCCTCCCAAAACACCAGATTAGCCCACCCAAGCCCTTGTCCCATGCCCTCCCAAAACACCAGATTAGCCCACCCAAGCCCTTGTCCCATACTTCCCTCCCAAAACACCAGATTAGCCCACCCAAGCCCTTTTCCCATACTTCCCTCCCAAAACACCAGATTAGCCCACCCAAGCCCTTGTCCCATACTCCCCTCCCAAAACACCAGATTAGCCCACCCAAGCCCCTGTCCCATACTTCCCTCCCAAAACACCAGATTAGCCCACCCAAGCCCTTGTCCCATGGCCTCCCAAAACACCAGATTAGCCCACCCAAGCCCTTGTCCCATGCTCTCCCAAAACACCAGATTAGCCCACCCAAGCCCTTGTCCCATACTTCCCTCCCAAAACACCAGATTAGCCCACCCAAGCCCTTGTCCCATGCCCTCCCAAAACACCAGATTAGCCCACCCAAGCCCTTGTCCCATACTTCCCTCCCAAAACACCAGATTAGCCCACCCAAGCCCTTGTCCCATGCCCTCCAAAAACACCAGATTAGCCCACCCAAGCCCTTGTCCCATGCCCTCCCAAAACACCAGATTAGCCCACCCAAGCCCCTGTCCCTCCCAAACACCAGATTAGCCCACCCAAGCCCCTGTCCCTCCCAAAACACCAGATTAGCCCACCCAAGCCCTTGTCCCATACTTCCCTCCCAAAACACCAGATTAGCCCACCCAAGCCCTTGTCCCATGCCCTCCCAAAACACCAGATTAGCCCACCCAAGCCCTTGTCCCATACTCCCCTCCCAAAACACCAGATTAGCCCACCCAAGCCCTTGTCCCATACTCCCCTCCCAAAACACCAGATTAGCCCACCCAAGCCCTTGTCCCATACTTCCCTCTAAAAAGATCAGATCAGCTCATCTTAGTCTAACCCCCCTCCCCCAATGTTCGCATTAATATCCGTTGAATGCAGATAACAGCTGGCAGATAAAAAAAAAATCTGCAAGCCCTAACATGCAGATAATGCTCCCCACAAGAATCACCAAATCCCAATCCGATCTAGCCGCCATTTGCATAATCCCCTGGGCCTAGCCCGGGCCACGTCTTGGGTGTGGGTGTTGGGGGGGGGGGGGGTGTCTCATTGACGTTCGGACAGTTGCAATTTTTTTAAAAACTTGAGCCATTTAAGGCCTGGCGCTGCTAAGGTCGCAACATCCACAGGATCTTCTTTGGATCTCTGGAATATTCCAGACAACCTTCCACTTCACCGATGGAAGAACTTAGTACATACGCGGGTCTAGCTATTGAATGTGTGTATGTAGGTGGACAGCTAACAATTCCATTCCGAAATCCGTCAATACATATACATACAAACATGCAATAACAAATAAGAACTAGATAGACATACAAACATGCAATAACAAAAAAGAGTTAGATAGACATACAAACATGCAATAACAAATAAGAACTAGATAGACATACAAACACGCAATAACAAATAAGAACTAGATATACATACAAACATGCAATAACAAATAAGAATTAGATATACATACAAACATGCAATAACAAATAAGAACTAGATATACATACAAACACGCAATAACTAATAAGAACTAGATATACATACAAACACGCAATAACAAATAAGAACTAGATATACATGCAAACATGCAATAACAAATAAGAACTAGATAGACATACAAACATGCAATAACAAATAAGAACTAGATAGACATACAAACATGCAATAGCTAATAAGAACATCTCATAGCAATGCAAATAACAAATAAGAATTAGATAGACATACAAACATGCAATAACAAATAAGAACTAGATATACATACAAACATGCAGTTACAAATAAGAACTAGATAGACATACAAACATACAAATAAGAACAACTCATAGCAATGCAAAGAACTTGGAGATTTGGTTACTTTTGATTTACCTACAGCTGTCCAAAGAGAATTTGTTTTCATACATTTTTGTTACATTTCGTATTTATGTTTTGATCAGTATACTTACAAAGCTGGCAACATCTAAAGATCTAAGCTACCGCTAGTAGTTTGTTACTGAACTGCATACTTTTATAAAAAAAAAATCACTATACGATAGACAGTGCGCATCGAATAGCATCTTTCAGTGTGTGACAAATATATTAGAAAATATTTAAGTCTTCAATCTCATTCATAATAAACCGGGAGTGATCTCCCCTGAACTTTCTCGAATATTCTTATATAAAACAACAGGGGATGGGAACTCGGGCTATAGACATGATTTTTAACCCATTTTAAATACTTAAAGTTTTAAAAATAGAATAAAATCTCGTAGATAAAAGAATTGCACACTAAGTGAACGCCAAATAAAAAAGTGCATAATAGTGCGCAATATTATTACTACTTTAAAAATTTACATTAGTTTTTTGAGAAATCGGAAGTAGCGTAAATTAGTACTTCCGTTCAACGGAAATTACTCAAACTTTAACAGAAGGTACAGTTTAGGCTTTAAAAAAAATTCAAACAAGAAAAAATACCACTTCCGGTTATCGGAAATCGCTCAAAAGTTGATACGGATCTACGATTTTGATAAAATACTTATATATGAAATTTCATCAACCTAGCTGTAACGGTACTCAAGTTATCGTGTTTACACACGGACAGACAAACACACACACAGACATACGGACAGAATTGCAAAGCCCAGTTTTTTAGACTGGATTACGCATAAAACCTCTTAATTTTGATAAATCTGGATTGATAATTTTTGCCCGATTAAAATAAGTCCTTTGTACTTCGGATGTGATGAAGGACTGAGGAGTAATACGGTGAAAACTGTTAAAATTTCAAGTGATTTTTGTGCACAATTACAATACTTTCTCTATACTTCGTATATACGAGAAAGTAAAAAGGCACGATCTAATAATTTTAATTAAGTAAAACGTACTGCGAGTAAACAGCATCTATATATCTATATATAATTCTCTTTTTGGATACCCTAGAAAACACCAGGCTGTAAGCGCGCCTAGCAGCCCCCTCTCTTCCTCTCTAGGCATATCCCTACCACCGCCACCCCCACATGGTCTGGTGAGCTGTGGTTCACGCTAAATGTTTACAATCGTAGAGCCGGGTTTAGTGACGGCTATTAGGGGCAGATAATTTAGTTTGAAACGATTTTAAACTTAGGTGAGGTAACTAAGAGGAGGCTGCTTTCACGGGGGTGGGGGGGGGGGGGGCGTGTAAGGTAGGGGTTGGGGTTGGAGGAAAGGAGGGTCGGGGAGGGGTAT